TGCACTTCCGTCTACAGACCCAGACAGCCTCAAATAATCAGAGGATATCCAAATCTTCTGTGTGTACATGTAATTCTCTTCGTGGCTTAAAAAGTATATAATTTAATAGACCGAAACATCCTTACCCTAGCTGATGCTACTTATATGCAGTGCATACGTGAACATGTGTGTTTGAACAAATAGTTTTGGTTTCCTAAAATCTATATTTACAATACTGTTTTTTGCATGTAATTTCTCTTTCGTTTATTTACTTTTATAAACTTATTCTAAAAAAAAAAAAGTTGAATTTATTTTAAGGAATTCCAACAAGAGGAATCGAAGCTGGCCCTACAAAAGAAATTGGAACTAGCCTTCATAAGACAACAACGGGCGCGACTCGCAGTAAAATTGCTAAAGTTAGATTTTACAAGTATCGCACTTCTGAAAAAAGAAAACTGCATTGTGAATGACTCCTAACAGGCAAAAAGGGGACTTTGCAAGCTCTGAAATGGTGACTTTTGAAGCACTATTCTTCCGGTCAAACTTCGGGTAAAATTTGTCACGAAAAACTGCAATATAAGGTGTCCGCTAGCTCAGAAGCTGGAAAAAAGACAAACGGATTATGAATCCATAAATAAATGAGCTGATTTTTATTTTTTTCGAGTAAGCGCCAGAAAAAAACAAAACGAATGGATAACAAACAAAAATGCGGAAAAATAACGAATCGGCGATGTACAAAAAACCGATTTCGATCCTTATTTAGGGATCAGAGGGAAGGATCTGTTCCTAAAAGATAGTAATTTTGTGACTCTTCCTCTGTGACTCGCGAAGTCAATGGTGCTGGCGGTGAAGATAGTTACGACGAATTTTTGGAGAAAAAAAACTGAAGCAGTGCCGGGGTTACTGTCCAACGTTTTCGGCATTGGTTTCGCCACGTCTACAAAGATATAATCATTCAGGATTCTATCTTAATCTCCGGAAACATAATCCACAACGATTCGCGATAACAGAAATTTGAAATCGTGGCATATCTCTTTTTGTCCCGTCATACATTGCTCGGTCTGTGTTTACAGCTAAGGGATGAAACGCAGACTACATCGTAAAATATCCTCCGGCACATGACACTTAAGACCAATCCTTCCATTCTACTATTTCAGAACAAATTTTAGCTAATTTTTTTATTTTTACAAATTTTCGGATTTCATGAAAACTGAACTTCAAACTTCCTGTCTGAGAGTTTCAGGTCTTTTGTCCTAGAATTTGGAGGGTACCGGGCAGGAGGACTGTATAATAACTGGCTTAAATAATTCTTTCAGGGAATCTGTTCAGCGAGTCAGTTGTTTTGCCCACTTTCATAAATTTTAGATTAAGCTTGACATGCAGCTTTGTGTCGTTTTTGCATCGCGACAGTTAGATCTATGGCGATGGTACGCGCTTAAAGAACGTGAAATCGTTAACAGAAATTTTAGCGAAATATTTCACTACTGAGGAAATACAAGGCGACTAAAGCTTTTTTTAAAGAAAACTGAAAAATCGGATGAACTGGAAGTTGGCCAAATTGTCGCGAATGACAGTGAAGTTTCCGCGGAAGATGAGAATCCAAAAAAACGAACGACGACGTGGAAAAAACCCGGAAGACCCCCAAAGAAGCCGAAGAAAAAAGCAAAGAAAAACTGAAAGCTTGTCGGTGACGGTTACAGTTTTCACGAAAATGGCC